GGAGAGTAGTTGTGATCCATGTGGAGTTTCTCTTAGCAGAATGATAATATTTCAATTTTCTCTGTACTTCTTTCCACAATGAGAGCAGGTGTGATTTCAGTATTTCTAATTCATTATACTTTGCTCAAGCGATCCTCCTGCCTCAGCCTCCTGAGTAGCTGGGACTACAGGCATGCACCACCATGCCTGGCTAATTTTTTCTCTATATATATATTAGTTGGCCAATTAATTTCTTTCTATTTATAGTAGAGACGGGGGTCTCGCTCTTGCTCAGGCTGGTTTTGAACTCCTGTCCTTGAACAATCTGCCTGCCTCAGCCTCCCAGAGGGCTAGGATGATAGGCATGAACCACCGCGCCCAGCCCAGAGCTAGTCATTTATTACAGCAATCAGAAGAGATGGAGGCTGGCACCCCTTTTGGAGGTGGTGGCAGAGCTGGCAGGACAGGAGGACTGGCCTGGTCAGGTGAGCATGTCCCAGAGACAGCAGCAACACAGAGTAGTCCAGCAGGCTGTAAGGCAGGTGAATGGTCCCAGGTTGTCCCTTCTTTGGTCTTACACCACATACACTATGGTTTTAGGTGGCTCCTGAGGTCCACCCTGCCAGCCATACTGTGGGTATCCTTGGTAGGGGTACCCCAGAGGAGGTGGGTAGGGCCCCCCATAGGTCCTGGACCCATTGGTTGTTGTGGATAAGGTGGTATGGGGCTGTTGGACCAGGGCCAGGATATGGTGGAGGGTTCTCTTGGTTCATCAGGGACCTGCCAAATACACCTCTCCTCTCCACGAACTGCCTGGATAGTGGTTGGGCCAGGAATTCTGGCATTGTGTTTAGATCTTGATAGAAGGCTATAAAGAAAAGTGGAACTGATTAAATTCAAAATTTGTCTTCAACAGCCTTCTCCCTCTCACTTGATGGTACTCCATCTTCTAGTTGTTCAGCTTAAAAACCTTAGATTCATCCTTGACATCTCTCTTTCACGTTCCATATCTAATCCACTAGAAAAGCCCACTGGGTCTGTATTCAGAATTTATCCAGAATCCACCCACTTCTCTCTCCTTGCTGCTAACTGTCCTGGGCCAGCCACCGCCTCTCATTTGAATTACTTCTCCCAACTGTTCTCCCTGATTTTACCATTGCTTACTTATATTTTATTCTTAACCCAGCAGCCAAAGTAGTAACTGTTTAAAAACATACATTGTATTACTTCTCTGTTCAGAAACCTCCATTGGTGAAAATGGTTCCCCTTTCACCCAGGGTAAAAGACTTTCAAAGCCCTGTGTGTTTCTTCTTGGACCTCAGTTTCTCCTAGTGTTCTCATTCAGCCTAGTGGGCCTCCTTGACTCTCCTCACCAAGCCAGGAACACTCCTGCCTAAAAACTTTTGCTCTAGCTTCTTTGTCAGGCTGGAATTCTCTTTTCCTTATGTCTGTATTGCTCCTTCCCTCTCCACCAGGTTTTTGCTCAGATGTTATTTTCTTAATGAGGCTACCCTGGCCTCTTTATTTAACACTTGAACCTGCCCCTTGCCTCTACTCTTCATGCTCACAATCTCCCTTAACATCTCCATTCTAGAAAATGTGTTCCTTGAGGCAGGCAGGGGTCTTTGTTCTTTCTGTTCATTGTGTATCCCAGGACCTGAAACAATGTCTGACACATGGTAGGTATCTAAAAGTATTGAATAAATTGTTGGATACAAATAGTTTTTATGTTTAATTTGTTTAAATAGACTCTAAGTCACTTAATGTGGTAAGTAGAGCTTTGTATAGGTGTTCTTATCCTCTGAGAATAAATATAGATCAAGACTTGTGATTTTTGTACCCAATTGCTTTTTTTTTTTTTTTTTTGAGACAGAGTCTTTTGTTGCCCTGGCTAGAGTGTTGTGGCATCAGCTTAGCTCATAGCAACCTCAAACTCCTGGGCGCAAGCCATCCTTCTACCTCAGCCTCCCAAGTAACTGGGACTACAAGCATGTGCCACCATTCCCGGCTAATTTTTATGTATATATATCTTTAGTTAGCCAATTAATTTCTTTCTATTTATAGTAGAGACAGGTCTTGCTCTTGCTCAGGCTGGTCTCGAACTCCTGACCTTGAGCAATCCACCCGCCTCAGCATCCCAGAATGCTAGGATTACAGGCGTGAGCCACCGCACCTGGCCCCCAATTTGCTTTAAAAAGGACCAGTTATGTCTATTTGTATACTGATTATTATGCTATTTTTCTTTGCCTAAAGCGAGGTGCTCAGTCCCCTCTGATATTTCTCTATGTGGTCGACACATGCCTGGAGGAGGATGACCTTCAAGCGCTCAAAGAGTCCCTGCAGATGTCCCTGAGTCTCCTTCCTCCAGATGCTCTGGTGGGTCTTATCACATTTGGGAGGATGGTGCAGGTTCATGAACTAAGCTGCGAAGGAATCTCCAAAAGTTATGTCTTCCGAGGGACCAAGGATTTAACTGCAAAGCAAATACAGGCTAGATTTGTTTGATGATAATGCTGGATGCATACATGCATCAAGTTGTGCTTCTCTGCCCAATACATGAAATGCTGATTTTAACAATATTTTCATCTAACTTCAAACAGCCTCAGCCGATTGTCACCCCAGAGCCACAGTGTGCTCTCTGTCCAGAATACATTTGTCAGATGGAGGAGCATCTGAGAATAAGACCATTGCTGTTACGGGATTTGTATAAACATGCGTTTTGTTTTTTCTACTGGGTGTTATATGTGTGGTTGTCTTATGGATTGTTTTCAATGTATTGGAAACTTTCCATTTTATTCAAGAGAATCCTATTCCATATTGAAAGCCTTGATTAAAGAGGAGTTTTATAATCTAAAAAAAGGGATGAATATCAATATTCATGAATTAGAAAAGATAATTCTTGTAAAGTCAAGGATTTGAGGCATGAATTCACCTGAAAAGGATTTCCCACAGGCCTGGATATTTCCCACCAAAGAAGTTGGAGAGGAATTGGAGATATTCTTAAGGATTCTATGTTTAATGCTTTGGAAGTAACTTCTAAGTACAAACTGTATTTGCTATTTTCCATTTAACTCAGACAGTAACATCTTTATGGACCTAGTTTCTGTCTTTTTTTTTTTCCTTTAATTACTGCTTATAAATACTGACAGAGCATCTGAAGGCTTTCAGTCATCCTAATGTCACTTCTGTTTCTTTTTTCTTTTCTA